GCACCTTGACGTACTGTCAGTGCAGTTAACAGCCCTTTTCTGCATTATTAAAGCTCCCCCTATGATCAAAATCCACCTATGAGCTCATCTGCACTACTCCCCATCAATCCCTCTCCACCCAGAGAAGTCATGTTAAAGACAAATATGATTCTGTTACTCCCCTGCTTCAAAATTTGAGTCCCCATCATTCTTCAGATGTGGATAAAACCCCAGATCTGCAAGGGGGCATAACAGACGCCCTCAGGATCTGCTCCAGCACCTGCCCTCACTGCTCTCCAGGCCTTCAGGCTTCCTTGGGCTCTGTACATGCCCCAGGCTCCACCCCACAGGGCTTCGCTTAGGCGCTCCTGCCTGGAAGGAGCCTGGCCACGGCTGCCACCCTCAGACCTCCGCACTCACATACAGGGCTCCCCTCCTCAGTGGCACCGATTATCTTCAATATTTTCCATGTAAATATGTGATTGTGTCTTTCTCACAAAGACATGAGCCTGTAAACCACAGGAGGAAGGAACCTGGTGAGCCAGGTTCCCTGATGTAGCCACAGTGCCTGGACATAGTAAATGTGCTCTATTACACTATTAATAGCTAAATAAGTGAGTAACGCAACCTGCTTTCAAGAGAGTTCTTAGATTACACTTAGTCGCAGGTGACCGGTAAAGCTTAGGTGATCCTGGAGAGAAGGCTAGAGAGGCAGCACCTTAAAGGGTTTGTATAAGTTTGCTCGAGCTGCCATAACAAAGCCCCACAAACTGGGTGGCTTAAACAACAGAAATGAGTTGTCTCACTGTTCTGGAACTAGAAGTGCGAACTCAAGGTACCGGCATGTGGGTTTCTTACGAGGACCCTGAGGGGGATCTGCTCTGGGCCCCTCTCCTGGTTCCTGCAGCCCTGGAACTCCTCAGCTTGTAGGTAGCATTATCCTTACATCATCTGCCCTCTGTGTATGTGTCTGCATCCAAATTTCCCCCTTTCTATAAGGAGACGTGTGCTCTTGGATTAAGGCCCATCCTGTGACCTCATTTTAACCTGATTACCCCTGTAAAGACCATACTTCCAAATAAGATCACACATTCTTAGCTACTGGGGATCAGAACTTCAATATATCTTTTTTGGGCAGGGGACACAATTCAACCCTTAACAGGGTTGACTATGGTTGAATACGGTCTCATCCCAAATGACTGTAGCTGTAGTTAGCCAGAGTCCTAGCCAGGACACCAAAGATGGCTTTAACAGGAAAGAATTCTTTTCTAAAGAATTGATTTTAATAAAAACAGAATTTTTCATTTTGCTGCTTCTATCAGTTATGTGCCTATTTATAAAGCAGAGATAGGTGGTGCTTTCAACTATGTAACAAGAAAAGGAAAACACAGGGAAGGCTGAGAAAGCCAAGCTGGACACAATCTGAGGTCCCAAATTATTTCCCATTAGCCTAGCAGATTCCTTTAGTAAAGAAAAAAGTACAGCCACAGCCACAGCTTTTACTACCACCCTGGGATACACCCCATCCGACCCATCGATCTATGTGGGGCCAGTGACAACCTCTCAACCAGCAATGGCTGCTGAAAGTGTGACAGTGGGGCATTCCTACCCCAGCCACAGCCACATCTCTGACCTGCAGCACCTGTTCTCCTCCCACCCCTTCCCCGGACTGTCCAGACCTCCACGACCAGGCTCTTCTGTGAGTGGCTGTAACTAGAAGCCCTGGTGTGTGGGTGACATTCCTGAGGGCCAGGTGCTCGTGCTCACATGGACGGTGTGGGAAGGCAAAGGTGAGGGCCCCTGGAGTGTGCTCACCAGCTTCCTGACAGCAGGAGGATGCCTACCTGGAAAGAGACAGGAAAAAGACAAGAGTGGACATCCTTCCAGCTAAGAGGAACACAGAGGTAGGCGTTTGGTCCAGAGAGAGAGAAAACCCAAACCTGACTGCTGGTTATCAGGTGACATGAAAAGATTAGCAGGAATGGACTTTCTGGAGGAAGGACCACAGGTGGTGACTGAGCTGTGGGGGCTGCAGAATCTCACTTTCACCTGCACTCTGCATTTGCCCGCACATGCTTGCCGTTCCTCAGTGGTGGCAGAGCCAAGCTACACTGCTTACTGGCTGTGAGTCTTCAGGCAAGTTACCTAACCTTGCTGAGCCTCAGTTTCTTCACCTGTAAAATGAAAATAATAAGAGTAAGTACCTCCTAGAATTGTGAGAATTGAAATAACCCTGTCACACACTTTGTTCATAGTAAATGTATGATAAAGGAAACAATCGTTGTTATGAGCCCAGAGTGTGTGTATAAGTGAAACACATCTGAGTAAACACAATTTAAAAACTGAAATACTTAAATGAGAATCCAACTCTCTCTTCCAAAAGAGGATTTTGGAATAATTCTCTTGCCCAGTGAAAAGCATCACACTAACCTCAACAATCAACCACGAAGCCAACTCCAGCCACTTCACGCAACCAGCCTCCCACTGTGGGCCAAGACTGCCCTGTGGGGTCCCACCGGGACAGCCTCACTGGGACAATATACTGCATTATAATTAGTCCCTTACAGTTACTTGGAGTTTTCAGTCTCTAATGCATGTTATCATTATTTTAGTTAAACTTTGTAACAACCCTATGAGGTAGATAGGACATCTGCCTTCATCCCATTTTACAGATGAGAGAATGAAGGTCCCTGAGAATAATGACCATCTTAAATTGACACGGCAGAGAAGGTGATGTGGACACCCAGAGGGGAACTTGGCCTTATAACTTCTAGACATGGGCTATTAGTATTCCAGCACCCTCCCTCCTGGGAGAAGAGAAATGATTCCTGCTGCCCCAGCCAGCATTCCCACCAATTAACAACTAATAAATGTGTGAACACCAGCACAACCACAGCAACCCCACCCCTGCCAGTAATCTGGAGACTTTATTATAACACAGATTATTGGTTATTGATTGGTTATTGGTTATATCACAGATTATTAATCCCCTCCCCCCCATTTATTTTTGTTTGTTTGTTTTAGCAGCTACTGACCTGAAGGCAAAGATGCCTCTGACAGGGCTGGCCACAGCCACCCAGGACCCTCCATTACGCCAAGTACTGGCCTGCAGGGTCACCTCTCTGTGCAAGCCTTGACTGGCTTCCCTTTTGGGGCCTCAGTTTCTCCACCTGTACAGTGGCCCCAGCAGTGCCTACCCTGTAGCATTGCTGTGGGGATTAGCTGGAAGGGTGTGTGTGTGTGAACACATCCTGTCCAGAGTCTGGCACACAGTAAGTACTCAAGAGAAGTTAGATAGGTTTTTGTTAATTGCATACTGTCCTTGAACACTTACTAGACAGATGAGAAAAATTCAGCTTGAGTCACTGATTCTGTCACTTGTTAGCTATGCAACCTTGTGTTAAATCGCTTAATCTCTCTGAGCCTCAGTTTCTTCTTCTCATAATGCCTTCCTCACAGACAGAAATGAGGTTTAAAGGATGGGATGTACAGAGCATTTTATGAGCTGAGAAGGGCTCTGTGGGGTTTGAGAGGAAATGGCAGCGAGGCTCTGGGAAGGCCGCAGCAGGAGCACAGATGAGGCTCAGGTGCACAGCCCAGTGGCTCGGGAATGAGGGGGCGGGGGAGGGAAAGACGAGGAGGCTCAGAGAGCAGCTCCACTGAGTTAGTGTTTGCTGACTGCCAACCTGGGTCCAGGCACCGTCCGAGGTGCTGGTAGTGCAGCCAGCGACCCAGGGTCCTGCCCACAGGTGCTTACACTCTGGAGAGTGTGGGGAACAACAGCGGGAAGTGCTGGCATGGAATTTAAAAGTGCAATAGGAGTAATCTGGAGACAGGAAGAGGGACAGGGAAGCGAGGCCCTAAGCCTGTGAGAATGAACTTGGGCTTGTGAAGGAGACATGCTGAAATCAGAACTGCCTTCTGCAGGACAGGGGGAAACCAGGCCGAGGTGGGAAAGAATGAGGGGAGGAGGTTGAGGTGATAGAGAAGCGACTGTGATGGGTGGTAACATGCCCCAAGAAGGAGTGTTTGGCCCAGAATAGAACATTACGGCAGACACTGGGACAGGAGAATTTTCTGTAAGGACACCTCACTTTCAGGCAGGTAGCTCCCAGCCCTCCGGTTCTGATGTTTATCCGTCTTCTACTTCCTCCACACAATCTACCCGATTCCAGGACCTGGATAACACCAGGCTGTGTGGAGGGTACATACCCCTGGGCCACATTCAGTGAAGTACACACACGGCACAAGGCCGGACATGAGGACAGCCGCCAGGAGCGCACGCCTCCAGAAACCCCATCACCCCACCGCTCCTGCACACTTTCACCTGCGCCATCTTAGAACGATTCTCCCCCACCTCACTCCAATTCCTGTACAAGGATGTTGAGCTCCAGAGAAAACCAAAGGGAGGGCAGAGGGACCAGAGTGTGACCAAAAGAACAGACCGTGTCATCACTTGGGAACAGAAACATCAGGTGCAGCCACAGATAGTATTGTTGGCTCCTGAAGTTTTCCTCACCCTTTCCCTTCTCCCTTTATTGACGTCTGCTAATTATTTAGCAAATGTTCAGATTTGGTTCTCTGGGGCACAATGTGCCACGTGATTTTCGTGTAAGGGAGAAGATCGGCATACCCTCCACTTCCAAGAAGTGTGAATTTCTGAGGAAGAAAATATAGACATACACCAAATGACTTTCTCTGTGAATCAAAGGGTGTTCGTTCCTCACTTGGTGCTGGTACTCATGTCCTGGCCCTCATCCTTTCCCCCTGCCACAGGTGCCATCTCCATTAGTCCTGCTGCCTTCCTGCCCTTTTCTGATTCCAGGACAGTTCTGCGCTAGCACTCCCACCTGCAGGTAACACCAGGAGGCTCCACCCTCAAACACCTGGGCTTTGATCTTTTGCAAAGGATGGCAGAGCCCCTGGAGGACCCTACAGGGACATGGGGGTGGCTAGGAAATGGGGACTGACAAAACTCACTTCAGTTTGCACTAGAAACAAAGATGCGACAAAGGAACAGATTCAGCAACTGTGTGTGTTGTATTGGAAATGGGCCTGAGCAGTGAAACGTGGAGATGATGCTAGAAAACACACTGATAAAATCTTGATTTAGCTCACATGACAAGTGGAGGGAGCAGGATTCCCTTCTCTAACCTCCAGTTTAGGGTTTTCCTCCTCTGTCATTTTCCTAACCCCACTGTGACCCAGGGTTTTGAGGATTGGGGAAGCCAGCTGGAATGTTCCAGGAAGAGCCAGGAGGATAGAGAACTCCAGGAGGAAACTGATTATTAATACCTGGGTGTAGATGAATATTGCTCCAGCTGCCTCCTGGATACCCATTAATATTCCCCCAGCCAGAACTTGGGTATTGATTATTGATACCCCAGATTTCCCCAGGGTGTGACATGGGCCTTGTTCCCCATCCCATGCCAGGACCTCCACCTCCCCAGGACATGCCAGGATTCAGGGTCTCCCAGGGGTGACCAGGCAGAAGCGGCCGTCGAATCCTGCTGACGAGAGACCAGGGTGGATGGTGGGCAAGGATTAGCCTCTGGGCTCTCAGCACCTTAGAACGGGGTGGCCGTCTAGACTCAGAGTCCTGATCAGGGAGTAAAGCCTCAGGTGAGGGGCCTGCGGAGTATGCAAAGTGTCCTGCAGGCCAAGGACCACTGCCCAGAGGGAGGGTGACACCACCAGAAAGGAAAGACGGCTCTTCAGGCAGCCCTTCTTCCATGTGGTCCTCAACTGCAGCGGGCATCACCTGCCAAGGATCCTCAGAGGGCCAGGAATCCACAGAGGGCAGCCCCCCAGATGGGGGCCACCTCTGAACCCCAGAACCTCCTGCAGGTTGGGAGCCGTCTGATGGAGAAACACTGGGCTTCAGAGGAACCCTTACTAAGTTGTTAGACCCAGTGTCTGGTTCTAGCTGAGGATGTTTAGAGTTGGAGTGACCAGCCGGGGAAGGTTGTCCAAGCAGAGGCAAGCTGGTCCCCAGGCCGTGAGGAACTTTCTCCTCCACTGCACTGATGCTCCAAGCGAGGAGGCCTGAGGGAAGGGAGGAGGAGGCAGCCAGTGAACTGGATGCTTGGTCCCAATGCCCTCCCTGCCTTGATTCCCTGATCCCCTTTGCTTCAAGCCCCCTCACTTCCTCTGTGCCATTCCCCACTTCCTCTACTTCCCTCAGGAGCCCATGTGTGCATCCTTCTGCCTTTACCCCTTCCCTTAATTCCAGTTTCCAGGGACCCCCAGTTCCCTCCTGCACAAGGATTGGTTGGGCACAGCCTCCATACCTGAGAGGTGAAAACAGACCAGGAGCAGCCCCAGGGGAGTCCCATTCCCCACCATGTGGCCCTGCATCTTGCTCAGCTCTGGCAGCTCCCTCAGTCCCTGAATGGCCAGCCCTTTATCCTGTTAGTGGGGCGGGGGACAGCAGAGACAGGCGGGGCCAGTGGTTGTGCAGACAATAAATCTCCATAGTCCATCCTCATTCCTAATTCCATCTGTGGTAACAGGTGCCACTTGAATGTCACAGGGAAGCTGGGTGTTCCCACCCCGGCCCTTACCTCAAGCTCCCCACCCCTTACTGACGCAGGTGTCCTGGCTCACAGCTCATCACTGATTGCCAGTCTTGCCCTTCCCTGGCTCCTACACCAAGCAGGACCTTCATTCACCCTTGGGGTCCTAATCTCTTCACTGTCTTCTCAGCAATGGAAACACGTGATTCTCTTCACTTACTGTCTGGAATCCAGATCATTCTCTTCTAGCACCACTTTCTCATGCATTCCCATAGCTCCTTCACCTTGATCACACCCGGAAGGAAGTTCTGGGGTGCAGATGTGGCTGGGGTGCAGAGGGGCTACTCCTCGATGAAACCCTGTAACTAGGGAAATGGACATGGTTTCCATCCTTAAGAGATGACGGTGTATTAATTTCCTACTGCTGCTGCAATAAATAACCACAAACTTAAGGACTTACAAAAACATAAGTTTATTATCTTACAATTTTGAAGATCAAAAGTCTGACACGGACCTCACCGGGTTAAAGTCAAGGTGTGGGTCAGCAGGGCTGCATTCCTTTCTGGAGGCTCCAGGGGAGAATCTATTTCCTTGGTTTTCCAGCCTCTAAAGGCCCTTTGCATTCCTTGGCTCATCGGCCCCTTCCTCCATGTTCAAAGCTAGAAAAAACAGGATCTTCTCACATTGCATCACTCTGATCTCCTCTTCTTCCCTCTTTCCCATTTAAAGGCTTTTACGATTACATATTGGGCCACCCAAATAGTCCAGGATAACCTCTCTACTTTCAGGTCAGCTGACAAACAACCTTAACCCCATCTGTAATCTTAATTTTCCTTTGCTAGTAATCTAATATATTCATAGGTTTCAGGGATTAGGATGTGGGCACCTTTGGTGGTGGGTGGGAGGGCACCATTCAGCCTACCGCAGATGGTCAAATGTGTCCACAGATTATGAATGTACTGATAAAGAGTAGATGTTTCCAACTAACAGTAAAGGAAAAGATTTAAATGCTGTTGTCAAATGGCCATAACTGATCATTGTTGAAGCTGGGTGGTGGAAGTATAGGGGATTCATTAGCTATTTTGTCTACTCTTTTAAGTTTGAAATTTTTACAATTAAAAGTTTTAAAATGCCTTCATTTTCACTGTTGCTTCCAGGAGGCACCCAGGCGAGGCTTCCCGGTTGCATGAAGTCTAAATATTAGCTGTTAGATTTTTACCATGCCAGCCTCATCCCCAGCCCCTGCTGGCTAGCTCTTGGAAGAGGGAGGACTCCTCTCCAGAAATAGCCAATGGTTTGGAGGCACTGACCTTTTTTGGTGATGTCAAAGTTTTTGACCTGGACCACATCAGAGACTAGAGGACCCCCTACATCCAAGGTTGTACCCCTCCTTCAGCTGCAGTCCACAGAGCCTCTGAGGACCTGGATGCCTGTCACTGGCTGCAATCCAGGGCCAGATACCAGGCCAAGGATGACTCAACAGTAATGACAGAAACAGGACTGTCGTGGAGTCCTCCTGTGTCTTCAGTCACCCCTGAAGTTTGGCTCAGCTGCCCCAGATCATTTCTCATCAATCTGACACATTTCTGCTGGTATAGGACTTGGAATTTCAACAAAAGCTGTAAATTTGGGACTGGCTAACCTCATCCCAGTAGGAGGGAATGGGTTAGATCCCAGAGCAGGGGTGAATGCCTTTGCAGCCAAGCAGAGGTTGTGAGAGGTAGCCTGTGCTTTGGGGTGAGGACCTTCCTGTAGAGACGAGCACAGCCCACCCTCTTCCTTGGGATAAGAGAACTCCCCTGGCCTCAGCCCTGCCTGTCTCCATGGGCTTCACCACTCTCTGCTTTCTCTCTCCTCCCGAGAGGCCCCCTTCCCCTTCATTATTAAGGCTCTATCCTCTCACCTCCCACAGCTCTCACTCTAGAACCACAGTGGAGGCACCAAGGTGGAGAGGACACTTCTGGCTCTGTTCTGCCACGGGCTGTGACATTTTTAAGTAGGCCAGTGAGTCACCATGCTTGGCTGCCTCACTGTCATGCTCCCATCCCCTGTTTTTTACTCTCTGCCCCCAACTCCCAGAACAACGCCCGCCTGGGCTCCTACTCAGCCACCAGGAATCTGGCCTGAATTGTTGTGTTCCAGCTTCCCAAGGTTCCAGTGTCCCAGGAACCCAGGAAATGAACACTCAGGACTCCTAGAGGATGCAAACTAATGGTAGAGAAGGAGCCTGGGTGGGGAAGGGGAGGAAATAATTAAGGCTCTATACAAGGTGAGTGGGGAATGGAGAGAGAATGGATTTTCTAGAACAATGAGAGAGGAAAGAAATGGGAGGAAGCATCCCTGAGACCAGGCAATGTCTGCTTTCAGTTCAACAAATATTTATTGTTTTCCTCCTTTGTGGGAGGAGCTGTAAGGTAGAAGAGAAATACTGGTTCAAATTATGAGTGAAAATGGGGACCTCTAGAGGCATAGGAGCACACCACCAGATCCTAAGAGGAGACCCAAGACTCCAAGAAGGTAAAGTCTGCACCTGGTTCACACAGTTTATTGGGCCATCTGTTCGGGATCCAGAGAAAGCACCCAGTCTCCACAGATGCCCTGGTGTCTCCCTCACACAGGGAAGTGTCTGAGCATTAAGGGAAGTGGCAGCCGGGAAGGGGGACTGAGAAGGAGACCCTGAGAGGTAAGGAGGAGTGTTGGGAACTCACAGAGGGTGTGGTGGTCTCTGTGATGGAGGGTGGGAGTGGAGCTGGGAGTGTGAGAACCCAGTGGTATATCACGGTGGTGGACCAGATGCAAAGTCAGTGAAAAGCAGTTGTTTTCAGACAACAGTTTGGACTGTAGTTTATTTGGCAAAGAGGGAGAGGAGAGGATGACTTGTCTAGGAATCAGAGTTACTCTGGGCTGTTTCAGGGTTTTCCCAGTCAAGAATCTGAGTGGGTGGGGTTAGGTGATGAACTGTTCCATCTCAAAGAAATGGCAAAAGAAATTTCAGGGAGTGGTTATCTGGAAATGAGTGGTAGCATGGGAATCAAAGCAGTAGAGAGAATGAGGGAAGAAAGAAAAAAGAGGTGATGAGGGGAAGTCTGCCCTATTGCAGCCATAGAAGTAGAGCAGCCTTCTTGGGAGGGAGGAGGGAAGGAAAATGACCTTACCCCATGCCTGGCCCTGGAACATCTCCCGTGCACGTACTTGTGTGTGTGTGTGTGTGTATTCCCACATAGATGTGTATACAAAAGCTGACTTATGGACTGTTGAGTTACTCTCCCTGGGGTAGGAAAGCTTCAGGGTCAGCTAGCTGGGGCCCCAGAGGCTTGACTTGGGTCAGGATGTCTCGGATGGAGCGGCAGGGGAACTTTCCACAGGGTTTGGCACCAGCTGAAGGATCGGGTTGGGGTGAACCATCAGGACCTCCACTCAATGTCAAGGAGGAGACAGAAATACAAGGGTGGCCGGAAGAGCTGGACTTGCTGCTACAGGGTTGAAGGATGATTGTGCCACTCGACTGGGAGCTGGAGCTGCCACTGAAGGGGCCAGTGCCTGGGAGCGAGCAGGGCCCCTTAGAACCTGAGGAGCCAACTCCACAGGGCTGGACCCCTCCAGAGCCCACTGGCTGAAACGCAATGGCAGGGGAAGCCCCCAACTGGTAGATGTCAGAACTAGAAGAGCTGTAGCTGGGGATGATGGGATTGCTGGAGAAGTACTTGCCCTCGGAGATGGGGGGCCCAGCTGCAAAGGAGGGGACCCCTGGAAAGCCTCTGACAGGGTTATCTTTGGTGAAGTAGCCCACAGGGTAGATTTTGCCTTTACTGTGGGCCAGGCCAGGGGCCAGGTAACTGTTAGAGGAGCCACCTACTACCTCATAGCTGCCATAGGATGTGTCTACAGAGGTGATGGGGGAGCAGGGCTTGCCTGGAAGACTCCCATCACTACAGGGGACATGTCCAGGGCCACCAGAGCCATGCTGCTCAACCACTACCACCACTGGCCTTTGACCCTTGGCCACAGAGTGGGAGCTGGAGATGTAGGGACCAGAGTTGGAGATGACAGGCCCCCCACTGCAGGGAGAGTCAGGGACGTCTGGACCACAGGGGCGTAAGTTAGAGCTGACCCTTTGACCTCCACTACTGGACACCCAGGAGGTTTGGGAGACAGAAGAGCTTGAGCCTCCTCCAGACTGGGAAGAGCTTATTACAAAGGGGGAAGAACCATCATTCATTGGTAGAGCCGAGCCAGAGCCTGACTGGGAACTGCTGCTGCCGGACTGCAAGTAGCTGGATGCATCTTGTAGACTAGAGCCAGATCCAGAGGAGTAGCTCATCTGGGAATACCCCCATCCTGGCTTAAGTTTCAAAGATCTGGAAGAACCACCCTGGGCAACATTGGATCCACTGGAGATGCCACTGGATACACCAGAGCTGCCACTGGATCCACTGGAGTCACTGGAGCCACTGGAGCCACTGGAGCCACTGGATCTGCTGGAGCCAGTGGAGATGCTGGAACTGCTGGAGCTACTGTGGCTGCTGAAACTCCTGGAGCCACTCTTCCCAATGAGACAGGGGTCATTAGGGGAGGTGACATGCATGGGGTCCTTACAGGGGTCTGAGAAGGTCCCAATGCTCTTAGCCAAGGTCCCTAGGAAGGAAAGAATGGTTGGTAAGGGCCAGAACAGCATGGCTTCCCCCCTCACCTCGAAGCCCCTTGTCAGTCATCTGCCGCTCTGACTTCTACTGCAAGGAGCCCAGGGAGAGTTTGGCATGGAAAGGGGAGGGAGAACTGACTGCTGTCTCTCAAGGAAAACAAGAGAGCAGAATAAAGGCAGTTTCATTGTTCTGGGAGGGGGGCAAGGAGGAAGCCAAACAT